ATGCACAAAAACAACATAGTTTTCTTTTATTTATGGAGCATTATTATTTAATAAATGCTCATAATTTATTTTTGAGTAGTTTTTTTCATGTACATCTGCGCTGTATGTTAATAAAAGTGCCCATGTGACATCTGGGACACAGCTTTGACTAAGAACTCTCTTTTTGTTCTTACCTTATGGTTTTATAAAAAAATATCGAGATATATATCTTATATCGCCATTCAGCTAAAAAATATCGAGATATGAATTTCGGGTCATATCGCCCAGCACAAGATCGCATTACAGTAACACTGTGAGGAATCCTGGAGTTATTTCTGAGCAGGGAATGTCCTTAAATATGAAACAAATACATGGGGCTGTTTTCCTAAATTTGCACAATATTTCTAGTTCAAAACATCCTGTCTAAGAGTGATGGTGAAAAACTAGCTGAAGGCTCGACTACTATAATTCATAATTATCAGATGAGTCTAAAATCTCCCTAAAAAGTCGTCAGTTGATCCAGATAAAACTGAATTGAACTGAACTGAATTAGACTCTTGGTCGCGAGCGCAGTTATTCCTTCTGTGTCCATGTGCTGTGTTGCCAGTGGTTGCTAGGGTTCGGGGGAAGCAGAAAAGTGATGCGATGTGGTGCAACACTTGTGTCTTTGCAGCAATATCTGCTGTAATGCTATTTAGAATCGCTAAAGGGGCAAAAACTGATCTATTGTCGGTTTCCAAAGCATGTTTACAAGATGTTACAAAAATCTGTTTTACCCCACCCTAGAATATTCTTCACAGTTCAGATTTAAAGTTTCTCCATTAGAAAACAATGGCTGTACAATGGATGGTTATTTTTATTACAGAGATTTTTTTGAATTTCTAGGATTTCATTAGTTTGTTGCTAATGAACAGTTTCTGGATGGAGTTTGCTAATCGAGTGTGTCATCCAAATATAGTCAGTCTTAGCTCCAAAATACATCAAATGAAACTCCAGAAACCAATGGCTACATCCATCTGTTGTAACACTGTGCCCGCTAAGCTTTTGTACACACACGATGGCTCCAGACAGGCTCTTCACTTCCTGAGTTTTGATGTACATCCACACAGATTTCTTTTGAGTGGGATAAAAAGTTAAAACGTCACATAGCTTGAAATATTGCTTCCCAGTCATCTCCACAGTCAAGTAACTGAATATAATGACATCCTTCACATCCTGAAAAGATATTTTAGCCAAAAAAAGATAGGCCTACTCTGCCTGAGGTGCATGCTGCTGCTAGTCATAAAACTCCAAAACGTTCAAGTCGACGCCTTGTATTTATCTAAGGAAATACACTTACATCTATCGCTTCTGTCCTCACTTATGCATGCATTCAGTTTCCCTTCTCAGCAAGCGGCAAATGCCCTGTTTTACTCTGCAGTGTAATGACGACACATCTCTTGTGTGGAATGAAGACTTTAAACTGCATTATTTTTTTTTTTGTCTCTGTGTGTATTACAGAAATGTGTAACATTTCTTTGAATTCACCCTCTGGTGAGTTCTCAGCATGCCACCCTCGCTTTTATTCTTTTTGCCCCTTTTATCCGCTTTGTGCAACACTAGACAACACACACAACTGCCCACAGAGGGAACCAACAACAAAGGGAAAAACATAATGTTCCCTTTTTCCAACTGTTTGCTCGAAGCACGATAAGCCTAATTCCAGAAAACGTGTAAATGCAAATTGTTTTCCGTCTGGCGTACCTCAGTTTCTCCTTCGAACTCGGAGGAATCCAGTAGGGTCACTTTAAAGGGGGCTGTTTTAAGCCGTTTGGAGCCTTTCTGGGGAGATTTGAGGTTCTTGCTGGGAGACGTCTTTTCAGACATGTCATCGGTTTCTCTGTGTCCATCCATGTGCTTGTTCTGGTCCTTTACATGTAAATATAAAAGAATATACAGAAAATGAAACGACAGATTTAAAAGTCTCAAAAACAGAACAGACACTTGAATCTGTTTAAATGTTTTCACACTTTAAAATGGCAGTTTCACGCATACTAAGTCCAATAATGACATTATAATATATATCTGCTGTAAATGGGCTTCAGTTTCAGTCATTAAAGTAATCGCTAAACAACAATCTGAAATGAAATACAACCACTCTGCTCTACAAGAAATAAAGTTATGGCAACATGAAAGAATCTTGTGCTGAAATATGACAAAATAAGTGGATGAAAGCTCTGTCCTGAGAAGACAGTCTGGACAAAAACTATTTTTTAAGTATGAGAGTTGTATTTTGCAAAAATCTGTATGAGTTATGAGCTTCGGTGCCAAACTGTCAGAAAACACAAATATATTCAATAAAACAACAAAAACAAAAAATCCATAAACACAAATCATTTTTGCAGACACATAAACATAAAACAGCTGAGTTATATTTAGATACATTTCAACATCAGTAGTCAGACCTGCATTATACAGTGGTGGCTATAAAAAGGCCTGTGAGCTGCTGACAATTTCTCACCACACCCACTAAATAGCAACTGCTGCTAGCTAACAAAACCGACAGCCAAAGCTTCTTTCTTACACTTCTAAGTAGTACATGGCTCGACACGTCATAATGTGTAGTAATGATGTTCACTGGAAAGACTTTAAATCTCGTATACCCCAAATTGCAATATGTCATGTTAGGAACATTAGTAACATTTGTTAAGTTAGCATGACTGCCTGAATAGTTTAATTCATATAAATACATTTATTTCTTGTCCACCATTTTGGACATGTGACAATCTTGGTGACAATCTAGGATTAAGTGAATAAGCCCGACCACGACGGGTATGAAGTGGCTGGAGGAGGTTGATGGCAGTTCCCGGGAAAATGATTACTGCAGCTCCAGTTACACAGGCCTACAGACTTTCAGTCACCTATTGCAACCGTACAGCAGTCGCTTTGCTCACTAGCACATTGCAACAGTTTGCTTTTCTTTTTTTTTTTTTTTACAGCACATTGTGTTCTGCGTCCTGATTGGCTGTAGGCCATTGTCAATCAATCTCGTGCCGTGTCTCCTGTACAGTACAGAATGCGTTCAGCTTGTCAAATTTAGCAGTGTGCAGTATGACTCTATAGTGCTGTACTGTATGTCTGTCAGTTTTCTCCCCAACAAACACAACAATGTCAATGAAACGTTTTGCACCACCAAAGGCAACCGCAGTATCATTCTATGATACTGGACTTATTTTTCTAGGTGTTTAAACAAGAGAGAAAAATGTGAAAATGTTCATGCCTGTCTGAGAAAAGTGTATAAACTGTAGTGAGGGGTTTTACAGCCTTAAAACATCTATAATAATTGTAAAAAAGTTGGCTACTTCGCGGACTTCACCTATCGCAGGTTATTTTCAGAATGTAAGTCCCGCGATAAACGAGGGACCACTGTACTTCCATTCAAACACAGAAATGAGCTAGCAAGCAAAACAATCACGCTGAGATTTTTGGTGCTTCACTTTCTTTATAGTTTCACGCAGCAAGAGCCGGCAACCTCCAGGAACCACTTTCAACCAGTGGAGGAACACACATTTTTCCAAAGCAACTGGTGATTATACGCTATCCAGTATGTGTGTACGGCATTACAAGATACAGGAATAGTCTGGCACAGATTAGTCAAGAAGATTAGATAATGGAGTAGACGTAAACAGTTTAATGAAGAATAAAGACGTTGGTTGTGTAGACAACAATTATTTTTCAGTTTAGCTTTTACTTAGAACAGCTCCAAACTTACTATATAAAAGCTATTATATCATGTTTTTACTGTGTTTCCACCAACTAGATTTCTGTAGCATGAACAGTAGTCTAGTAGCACTATGAGATCCATCCTCACCTGTTTCGCTATTTTACTGTCAGAGGCTGAGTCCTGCATGTCTGCTGCTTCCCCCTGCTGTCCGGGAGGACTCCTTGTTTCCGTTCTTCACCTCTGACTCGAGGCCTTCCTCTGTCACTTCAGCAAAGTAACACCAACCTGAGAAGAGACAGGAGCATTGCAAATATATAATATCAAGTTTATAATGAAAAATAACTGCGTGCAGGGCTACAATGCTATATCGACGCCATCAATCGTTCCCCTCTTTAAAAAAGAAAAAGAAAAATTTTAGAAAGTGAAACATTCTAAACACAATTGCATGTTTTTCCCAAACCATAATGGCGCCTTCATTATAAATTCTAAAAGCTATGCTTTCTTTGTAAAACACCACTTGCAAAGACATAATTCATGCTGCCGTCAAGGGCATTTACTTTAATTATAAAATCCCTCACTGAGCCAGATAGTGATCATCTATTTAAGCAAGGCAAGTTCTGACACTCAGGCGACGAATACCAGAAAAAAGTCAATCAGGTTGTGAGCGCTATAGTCAGTATTTGCTTCAAATACCAGCTGTTAAAGAGAAAAAAAGGTAACAGTAAGAGATTACTTATGCATCAGCAGCTACGCCTGTAATTCTTCAGTCTGTCTGATTTGAGTGCATATGTGCGCAGAAGTTATTAAACCTAATAGTCCATTGTTCGTCACATAAAGAAAATATTCTACCTAATAAATTTAAAAACGCATAGAGAGCAGCAGACGCTTTGTTTCAGTTATGTAGGTTTATTATGTATCATCAGCGATTGAAGTCAAGTGTTAATTTTCCTGGATATTCGTTGGAGCTTGCTGTCTTTAGTTGCAGGGTATAGGTGTGGGTGGATAGAACAATAACCGCAACTGCAGTCACACAGCAGAGCAGCCAGTTATATCGGTTTGCAGAGGTGTGTACTGTTAGCACGTCTAAACAGAGGCCCAGAAGATAAACACTTAAGACACTTAAGACACTCTCACAGACATCTCTGCACTAGTTAGAAACCACAGCGTAGAAATGTTGCAGCAGATGCATTGTTGCATTACTATTCTACCAACTTAATGCAACAAGTAAAGGTTCAGTTTATTTAATTGGTTCAGGAATCAGAGCAGCAAGCATCCATTGCAAAACTGGTAGGTTAGCATTTGCATGGATGCATATTTTTGTGTCAGTTTTATCACAATATTTCCTTCTAAACTGTAGTGGAGTAAAGAAATAAAAGTGAAACTAAATTAAAATACAACTACATAAAAACTGTAGTCTTATATATCTTATCTTAGATTAGTTTAGCCTGTTTTAGCTTAGATTAGCTTAGCTTGTCTTAGATTATCTTAGGAAGTGTTCGTTTATCTACATCAGTGGAGAAGTCTGCGTTAAAGACTTACTTTACACCTACTTTACAACACACAATACTCGCAAATTAAATGTATACAAAAACAGAAGTAGGTGCAAATTTAGGCTGGAGTTTTCCAGGGTTTATGTGGCATTTCGCCTTGCTTTAGCAACATTTCTGGAGTGGTAATTAGTGAGCTTTAGCCTGTTTCTCTCTTTTTCTAGTCTTTGTGCTCAGTTCAGGAAGAAGCTTTCCAGGCGGATATGAAAGAGGTTTTCCCCTAAAATGCCTGCGTGTTCAGGTTATTGTGTAACAGTCACAATATGTGCGGTAAATAGCCAGTGTTATATATGGTATGGAGCAAACATGCATCAACAAAACAGGCTGTCTCGTATAAAATGACTAATGGAGAGGATACATCAAGGACTTCTGTTTGCAATATCCGCC